AACATGCAACATGCAACATGCAACATGCAACATGCAAAATTCAAAATGCAACATGCAACATGCAACAAAACTTTTGTCGCGTTTTTTTGAAACAGGTGCCAGTATACTTACTGTCGACATCAATAAAAACTTCATTAAGTGTTATGTTGCCAACACTGTTGTTTGCTGTACATTCGTAATACGCAGCATCTCCGATACGCACGTCTTGGATAACTAACTCGGCTTTCTTCTGATCAGCTAACGTTTCCCGTTTTTTTCCCCCTTCTAGTCTTTTCGTCCATACAAAAGATGGTTCAGGATCTCCATACACATCACACGTTAGTCCAAGGGTTTGTCCCAGCTGTAGCATGACACCTTGGGGCAAATCATCATTTTTTGATGGTGGAACTGTTAAAAATACGGTGCAGTTAAATTGGTGAACTTGTGAGTGTGATTACGACGTTATATTGAAGTGTTCGGCCAATCCCCAAGTGCTCTATATCTCCACACAGCACAGCAAGCAAGTTTTTTATTTCTTTTATAAAATAAAAATTACGTGAATGACGAAACTGAAAGTGCGCGCGCGTGCTGTGTGCTCTCATAAAGCACGTGCTCTCAACCAATCAGATTGCGAGATTTAGAGCAGTTATTTCATAAAAAATATTAAATTGAAGAAACAGTCGAAGAAAGAGAAAGCAATACTGAAGATTTTTTTAATGATTGTTGGAATATATAATCTTGGAACATTTCGGTCATCATACCACGGTTATGCATCTACTGCAATAAGTTAGTGATATTATGTTCATCTTGCCTTATATGGTGTTTTTATACCCAAAAATAGACCACAATGCATAAAGTTCATTATCTTAAAAAAGTATTTTCAAGAAATTTTACACGACATTTATCGATTCAATATACAGGATAATCTTACCAAGTACAGTTAGCGATGCAGATTCTTCTGCTTTCCCAGCCCTGCTGCTTGCAATACATGTATACCTTCCTTCGTATTCTCCAGTATTTCGTATGTTGTGCATCACGAGTTTGTTCCCAGTGTGTTTGGGAGTTGAACTACCGCTGAATCTCCATGATATCGCGGGCTCAGGTACTCCAGTGGCATTACAATAAAAATATGTTGTGTTTCCTTGTATGACAATCTGGTTTGTCGGTTTGTGTTGGATTTCTGGTTTAACTAATAGATAAATAATACCAAATTTATAAATTTATTTGTAACAGCCAATTATGTTTTAGCCTAGATAGTGCATATTGTATTTTTGTTTTTATCTCAATTACGAATAGTTAGCTCGCGCAGTTGTATGTCGTTACATGTTATTACGGCTTGAGGGTGGCGAATATGGCCGAAATCTCGACAATACAATTAACCTATAAACCGCAGTGGATACAGTTTTTCATTTCAATATGCATCCTATTTAAAACAGTAGGAACTTATGGATAAATTGAATCACCGTAAGAAGCTTCGTGAAACTGACGTTTCGGACATTATTCCTTCGTCGGAGTAAGAGGAAAGAAAAGATGAGAAGGGGTGAAT